GTTCAAGGTTTGTAAATACACCAATTGGTACTCTGTATCTCGCTAACTCTGTGTCTGGCTAACCTAGTGGGAACTTGGAGAACTTTTCTGTCTAGCACTCTGTACCTAGCTCAAGGATTGTAAAGGCACCAATCAGCACTCTGTCAAAACGGACCAATCAGCTCTCTGTAAAATAGACCAATCAGCCCTCTGTAAAATGGACCAATCAGCAGGATGTGGGTGGGGTCAGATAAGGGAATAAAAGTAGGGCACTGGAGGCAGCAGTGGCAACCCTTTGGGGTCCCCTTCCACACTGTGGAAGCTTTGTTTTTTGCTCTTTGCAATAAATCTTGCTGCTGCTCACTCTTTGGGTCCACGCTGCCTTTATGAGCTGTAACACTCACAGCAAAGGTCTGCAGCTTCACTCATGAAGCCAATGAGACCACCAACCCACTGGGAAGAATGAACAACTTCAGATGCGCTGCCTTTAAGAGCTGTAACACTCACCATGAAGGTCTGCAGCTTCACTCCTGACAGCAAGACCACTAACCCACCAGAAGGAAGAAGCTCCAGACACATCTGAACGTCTGAAGGAACAAACTCCAGACACACCATCTTTAAGAACTGTAACACTCACTGCGAGGGTCCGTGGCTTCATTCTTGAAGTCAGTGAGACCAAGAACCCACCAATTCCGGACACATAAGGAAGATGTTACATGTGAAAAAGCAATAAAAACACAAATAAATGAAGAAACAGGCCACACTCAATATTTTAAAGACATAAATTATTTCTAAAATGATCTACAGATTCAATGTAATTCCAATAAAATTCTAAAGGGTGTGTGTGTGTGTGTGTGTGTGTGTAGAGGCAAACGACCAAGAATAACCAAAAAAAGAACAACAAAGTGAGAAGCCCTGCTCTACTGGATATCAAGACATTTTATAAATCTAAAATATTTGGGCCAGGCACGATGGCTCACACCTGTAATTCCAGTACTTTGGGAGGCTGAGTTGGGTAGATCACAAGGTCAGGTGTTCAAGACCAATCTGACCAACAAGATGAAATCCTGTCTCTACTAAAAATACAAAAATCAGCCAGGCGTGGTAGTGCATGCCTGTAATCCCAGCTACTCGGGAGGCTAAGGTAGGAGAATCGCTTGAACGCGGGAGGCGGAGGTTGCAGTGAGCCGAGATCGCGCCATGGCACTCCAGCCTTGGCGATAGAGAGCGGCTCTGTCTCAAAAAAAAAAAAAAAAAAAATTTTATATATATATATATATATATATATAAATATTTGGAACAATATGGTATGCACACAAGGAAGTGCTGCTTTCCATCACAGGCCAGTGATTACTTTTTGGGAGGGAGCTCTGTTATCTGGAAGCAGCATATGGGAAGCTGCTGGGTGCTGCCAAAGTTTCATTTCTGGGCTAGGATGATAATTACACATCCTATTTGGCTTTTTTGAAGTTCATTAAACTGCATATTTAATGTCATATCTTTTTCTGTATGTGTAATTTTATAATAAAGCTTCTCCAAGTCACTTGGAGATGTAGATGTGGAACTGGAGTGAGTTGGTGGGGAGGGGCTTTCTTCCACATTCTTACATCTTTGTGCACATACATACTGTCACATATGTACCTATACTCCCAGCACTTTGGGAGGCTGAGGCAGGAGGATTGCTTGTGCCCAGGAGCTCAAGACCAGCCAGGCCAACATGGTGAGAACCTGTCTCTACAAAAAATACAAAAGTTAGCAGGGTGTGGTGGTGTGTGCCTATAGTCCCAGGTACTTGGGAGGCTGAGGCGGGAGGATCACCTAAGCCTAGGAGGTTGAGGTTGCAGTAAGCTGAGATCGTGCCACTGCACTCCATCCAGCCTGGGCAGTAGAATGAGACCCTGTCTCAACATAAATAAATACATAAAATAAAGAGAAGCTGCTGTCAAGCAAGACTGGATCTTGCCCTCTCTCTCAATTTTCTATTTCCTGAGGTAATAGATTTACTTTTTAGAAAAGCCACTTTGAGATGGGGTTTCTATTAGTTACAGCGAAAAAGAACCAGACTAAACTAAATCAATGTCCAGGGCAGTGGGGTTTAGAGGAAGTTGTGTGGGGAACAGATTCAAGAGAAAGTAGGGGCAGAATCAATGAGATGCAGTCACTGATTGGATGATGTTGGTTAGAAGGGGTAATGTCCCTAAAATAGATGTACCGTTTTCCCAGTCTATTAGATGGCATCATGTACCGCTAAGGATGAGATGCATAATGATATTAAAGATGTCAAAATACCAAAAAAGTGTCTTAGGATCAACTAAAGAAATTACTAGAACTATAAATTTTCTTTCTTTCTTTTATTTTTTTTGCAAATATGTTACTGTTTTATTAATTAAGCCATTAGGTTTTCAGGTGGTTAGTTACACAGTAATGAACAACTGAGGGAATGTTTAATTTTTTCTCTAGATCTTGAGCCCTTGTTGTTAACTTTATATACACGTATTTACTACCGTAAACTGTAAATTTAGAGACTTTATTTATTTATTTATTTATTTATTTATTTATTTATTTTAGACGGAGTTTCACTCTTATTTCCCAGGCTGGAGTGTAGTGGTGCGATCTCGGCTCACTGCAACCTCTGCCTCCCGGGTTCAAGCGATTCTCCTGCCTCAGACTCCCGAGTAGCTGGGATTACAGGCGCCTGCCACCACACCCAGATAATTTTATATTTTTAGTAGAGACAGGGTTTCACCATATTGATCAGGCTGGTCTTGAACACCTGACCTCAAGTGATCCACCCACCTCGGCCTCCCAAAGTGCTGGGATTACAGGCGTAAGCCATCGTGCCTGGTGAGACCTCTATTTCTAAGATAATTAATCATTTTCTGCATACACAGAGCAAATAGCTTCTAATAGATTTTAAATTTACAAAAGTATAACTTTTTTTGCAGTTTTTCTTCTTGGGCGCTATTTTATTTTCTTCTATCAATATATGAGTATTTTGTGCAAATCAGTACTTTGAACCAACAAATAGTAAATATTAGCTTAACAAAAAAGATATTCACAATCTTCGTAACAAAAGATTGCAGTATTATTAATGCTACAATGACATTATGTATTAGGTGTATGATATCACTGGGGAAGAACTGAGCAATTCTATTATAGCTGCAGGGTGGCATTTGAGAACTTCATGACATAGGAACAGGAATAAGACAGGAGGTTCGAAGCATCAGAGAGGTTTCATATTGATTCAGTTTCAAATGAAGTCTGTAGTAAATTTTCCCTAGTTTGTGGCAAAATGACAAAATTAAAGACAAAGTAGTGAGTCTTTGTGTGAAGCTAAATTTATTCAAACTAAAGATTTACACATTTTTAAAAAATCTTTTATTCTTTTTTTTGTGTGTTTTGTATCTCTTTCCCCCTATTCCTTTTTACCACATTATTCAGAAATGATCAGTTTCCCATCTTGTTAAAATTTCCTTTTTCTATTTCTATGAAATGATAATTATGGCCAATGTTTGATTTCATTTTATTTATTTATTTATTTAGAGATACGGTCTTGCTCTGTTGCCTAAGCTGGAATACAGTGGCATGATCATAATTCACTGAATCTTCTGTCTCCGGGGCTCAAGAACCCTCCCGCCTTGCCTCAGCCCCGCCTGAGACTACAGGCAAGTGCCACCATGCCATGCTCATTTTTTAATTTTTATTTTTAGTAGAGAAGTGGTTGCCCTATGTTGCCCAGGCTGGTCTCAAACTCCTGAGTTCAAAGTGATCCTCCTGCCTTGGCCTCCCAAAGCATTGGGATTTAAGCCAATGTGCCAAGCCAGCAGATGCTTAATTTAGAGAAAGTTTTTATTTTGCACAAAAGAAAGGCACAAAAACCCAAAATCAATGCCAACTCTTGTTAGTCTCTTCGTCTACTTGTTTTGTTTTCATGGACTTTGACACAGGTTCATGAAACCCCCAGATCCAGGAACAATGCTAGTAGGCAATATTTAGGATTGGTTTTTTTCTTCAGAACCTGTTAATTCCACTGTGTAAATTACCTCCCTGAGATAACCAGAAACCTCCCCAGCACTGGGCATTGTGCCAGGGGAGGGTGAGGCTGGAAACCTGGGTTTGACCCTGCTAGGCTTTCTCCATAAAGGTTTCAGCCCCTCATCCCACATCAGGAGTGTTTTTGGAGAAAGCTGCACTCTGTTAAGCTCCAGGCTGCAGTGTAGAGAGGGAGTGAAGGAGCTCTCTGTACCCAAGTAAAGTGCAGCTGAGACTCCGACAAGGTCTGTGAGTTGGGGGAACCCTGTTTTCAGCTTACGTCTGCTTTTGGTCTCGGAGGTGTGTGAGGTTTAAACAAAAGGCAAGGGCTTTTGGAGTCTTCGTAGGACTGGACAGGGGTGGGACAGGGATGTAGAGAAAAATGATGGGCAAGACGGTGACCTTCATCTTGCTTTCTTTAGATTACGATGAACCAACTCAGCTTCCTGCTTTTTCTCATTGCGGCCACCAGAGGGTGGATTACAGGTGAGTCACGCTGTTAGGGACAGAGTTCCTTCAGCTGGGTGGCTCCTGGGATCCTGGTCTCTCCCAGGACACAGAGCATGTCTTTGAGATGCACAGAGGCCGGCTTGCATGTAGACTGAGTGGCAATTTCTGGTCTCTGGTGGGATCTGGCCTGTGGCAGTGAGCGTGTTGCTTGAGGCATGTCCTGGGTCCAGGCTCTGTGCTTTTGTGTGGCCCTGAGGGGGCTGTGGTAAGAACTGTGCCACCTCCCAGCCACTGCCCACTCCTGTGGTCTTGGCTGTGGGATTTCCATGGGAACTACATGGTCTGCTTTGTGCCTGGAGAACGTTCTCTTCACAGTCTTCCTCACTACAACAAGAATAACAATGACATTTAAAAATTTGTATTTCCCTTCACTGTAAATTTTTTTTTTTTTTAAGGAAAAGGCTGTTTCAAAATATCTTCTTACTTCATCTTTGCAAAATCACTGTTTATTAACGGTGTTTTAGGTATGAGAAGACTGAGATCAGTCACCTCTGACCTCAAAGCTTTTCCCCTAGACTGTTCGAATAGTTTGCACTTTTTGGAGTAGAGGTTAGTCTCACTGCTCCCTACTTCACATCCCATGTTTCAGCCATATTAAGCAGTTTGTAGCTCTACAGCTGGGCCACGCTGTATTTTTTTTTTTTCTCTAGGCCTGTGGATATGCTGTTTTCCCTGCCTTGGATTCTCTTCCTACTGATAAATCATGTTTATTCTCTCAGAAGAAGCTACGATGTCACCTGGACTGAAGGTCTTCTGTGACTAAGACATGAGACAACCCCTCTTGCCTCCTTCTCCCAGGCAACTGCCCTGCTCGCTGTCTGGCCTTTCCATTCTCCATTCTTACCTCAGAGTCTTTCTTTCATTCTCTTGAGTTTGTCTTTCTTCTACCATTTATTCTTCTCAATCCAATTTTCTGATGACTTGTCATCAATTCCCTCTAGAGGCAAGCTCTTGCTGGGGAAGTTTAATGTCTTTGATTACTCAGTGCTTAGGGCAGGCAGGACCCAGCACAAGGGCAGGTCATGTGGCGGGAGGCCCGCATTAAGCCTGTGCTGGCTGTTGCATCGGACGGGCTGAGTGGGTGTGAAGCTGCTGGGCTGAGTGGATGTGATGCTGATGGGCTGAGTGGGTGTGACGCTGCTGGGCTGAGTGGATGTGACGCTTACGGGCTGAGTGGATGTGACACTGGCTGTCTCAGGCCTTACCACCCTGGCATTGAGGTTCTGCTACAGTGGTGGAATGAGTGTGACTGCTGATAGGAGAGGCTAGGTTTTGTGTCAGACCAGGAATGAGAATCAAACTCTGTATATTCCGTAGATGAGGCTAACACTTACTCCAAGGAATGGACCTGTTCTTCGTCTTCATCTCTGCCCAGAACCTGCAAGGAAATCAAAGACAAGTGCCCTAGTGCATGTGGTGAGTGATAAACACTCAAACAGAGCTCAGTGAGGGTATCAGGATTGTGTCTTCTGGGAGTCATTTTGTCTTTTAGTTTAAAAAATTGCGGTAAAGTATACGTATACACATTAAAATTTGCATAATATTTGCCATTTTAAGCAATAGTAAGTGTGCAATTCAGTGGCATTCGTTACCTTCAAGGTTGTGCAACCATCACTGCTATCCATATGCAGAACTTTTTTATTACCACAAACAGAAACTCTTTACTTAATAACTAGGAGGGGCCGGATGCGGTGGCTCACACCTGTAAAGTGCTCACCCAGCACTTTACGAGGCTGTGGCAGGTGGGTGTGGTGGTGCACACTTGTAATTCCAGCTACTTGGGAGGCTGAAGTGGGAGGATCGCTTGAACTCAGGAGGCAGAGGTGGCAGTGAGCCGAGATGGTGCTACTGCATACCAGCCTGGGCAACAGAGTGAGGCTCCATCTCAAAAACAAAAACAACAACAAAACAAAACAAAAAATAACATGGAGTTATTAAGCAATAACTCCCTTCCCTCAGTCTCTGGTAGCTGCATTCTACTTTCTGTCTGTATGAATTTGCCTAGTGTAGTTACCTCATGTAATTGGAGTCATACAGTATTTGTCCTTTGATGTCTGACTTATTTCATTTAGCACAGTGTTTTGAGGGTTTGTCCATGTTGTAGCATGGGTATTTCATTCCCTTTTATCCATTGTTGATACATATATGCACACACACCATGTTTTGTTTATTCATTCACCTGTTGGTGAATATTTGAATTGTTTCTTCTGTTTGACTCTTGTGACTAATGCTGCGATAAACACTGGTGCAAAAGCATCAGCTTGAGACCCTGTTTTCAATTGTTTTGGGGACAGAACTGCACTGGAATTGCTGGGTCATATGATAATTCCATGTTTAACTTTATGAAAAATGTCACTGGGATTTTGTACAATTCTATGTTCTGCCTCAGTTATAGGAACATGATCTTCTGAACTCAGGGAGGCCCTAGTAGCCCTGGGAACACTGAGTGATGTGACTCAGGACAGGAGCCTTTAGGCCATGTTTCTGGTTTCTAGGGCCTTTCTTGTCATGGGGCTGAGATGAACCCTCAGCTCTCAGACAGTGAGGCTCTGGGCTGGTTCTCTCTACAGATGGCCTGTATTTTCTCCGCACTGAGAATGGTGTTGTCTACCAGACCTTCTGTGACATGACCTCTGGGGGTGGTGGCTGGACCCTGGTGGCCAGCGTGCACGAGAATAACATGCATGGGAAGTGTACAGCGGGTGATCACTGGTCCAGTCAGCAGGGCAGCAAAGCAGACTACCCAGAGGGGGACGGCAACTGGGCCAACTACAACACCTTTGGGTCTGCAGAGGCAGCCACGAGTGATGACTACAAGGTTGGTGCCACTTCCCACCCACTAGGGTGAGGGTGAGGAGTGGAGTGTGGCTGACCACAAGCCTGCAGGGGGGAGGGCTGGAAGGTGGGGATGTGGGGAAGGGCTGGAGAAGAAGAGAGAAATACTTGCACCTTTTTTTTTCTTTTCTTGAGACGGAGTTTCACTCTGTTGCCCAGGTTGGAGTGCAATGGTGTGATCTTGGCTCATAGCAACCACTGCCTCCTGGGTTCAAGTGATCCTCTGCTTCAAAAGTAGCTGGGATTATAAGTGCTCACTACCACACTTGGCTAGGTTTTGTACTTTTAGTAGAGACGAGTTTTCTCCTTGTTGGCCGGGCTCGTCTCGAATTCCTGACCTCAAGTGATCTGCCCACCTTGGTCTCCAAAAGTGCTGGGATTACAGGCATGAGCCACCACGCCCAGCCAACTTACATGTAGAATCACAACTTCCTCCTAACAAGGCCGTTAGGGCCCTGGGTGTGGTGGGATCATCTGCTGGGATTGGGGTGTCTGAGTGTGGCTGGCCATCTGCTCACCTGGAGTCCAGAGCTCTCAGTCCAGCCGAGGCTGCATGTGTGGACCTTCTACCTCCTGGGACCTCCTGGCCCGGTCAGGCTCAGTGTCTGTTGCTTTCCAGAACCCTGGCTACTATGACATCCAGGCCAAGGATCTGGGCATCTGGCATGTGCCCAACAAATCCCCCATGCAGCATTGGAGAAACAGCTCCCTGCTGAGGTACCACACTGACACTGGCTTCCTCCAGACACTGGGACATAATCTGTTTGGCCTCTACCAGGTACAGAGGGCTGCTAGCTGGGACTGGTTTTCATGGGTGTTCAGAAAGCAAGTGTTAGAGGTTGGGCAGGAATCATTTTTCAATGGGCCTGTCTCCCATGTTCTTCTAACCTATATTTGCTAATGGCTTCTGTTGCTTTTCTTAGGAATTCTGAGCCAGGCAAGAGAAAAGATCTATGGGAGGAGTGGGGGCCTGGGGGAGGGATAGCATTAGAAGAAATACCTAATGTAAATGACGGGTTAATGGGTGCAGCAAACCAACATGACACATGTATGCCTATGTAACCAACCTGCACATTGTGCACATGTACCCTAGAACCTAGAGTATAATAATAATAATAATAATAATAATAAAAATAATAATAATAAATTAAAGACCTATGGGAGAGGACAGAGGGGGCAGGAAGAGTGTGGGTGGGTTGGGGAGAATGAGAGAGAGAATGAAGTGGTCTAGGCTGCCGCAGAATCACAGCTCCTGAGTAACTGGCAGCAGTACCAGGGAAAGATTCTTATTTTGACTGGTTTTGAAGTAATCTCAGTTACTGAGAAAGCATTGTTTCCCCTCTATGAATGGCAGCATCCCAGGAGATGCTGGTAATGGCAAATCTGTTGTCTTTACTCCATGACTTTTTCTTTCTTTGTAGAAATTCCCAGTGAAATATGGAGTAGGACAGTGTATTACTGACAACGGCCCGGCGATCCCTGTGGTCTATGATTTTGGTGATGCCCAGAAAACAGCATCTTATTATTCACCCTATGGCCAGCGTGAGTCTTTGATGATCCTCTGAACTCTTAGTAGGAAAGGGAATACATTCAACTGTGCTAGGTAACAGTTATGCATCCGACTGAGGCCTGGTTCTCTTCTGTAATGTTCCCTGTATTGCCTCACTTGTTTTGCATGGCTGCCTTTGAGATCTGAACTGTTATTAACGTCATTTTAGGAAACTGAAGCACTGAGAGGTTTAGAATCTTGCCAAGATCACAGGCATGTGTGGAAGAGTTATCAATTAGGGTGAGAAATTTGGCTCCAGACTTTTTTTTTTCTTGAGATGGAGTTTCACTCTTGTTGCCCAGGCTGGAGTGCAATTGTGCAGTTTTGGCTCACCACAACCTGTGCCTCCCAGGTTCAAATGATTTTCCTGTCTCAGCCTCCCAAGTAGCTGGAATTACAGGTGCCTGCCACCATGCCTGGCTAATTTTTGTAGTTTTAGTAGAGATGGGGTTTCACCATGTTGACCAGGCTGGTCTCCAACTCCCGACCTTAGGCGATCCACCCGCTTTGGCCTCCCAAAGTGTTGGAATTACAGGTATGAGCCACCATGCCCGGCCAGGCTGCAGACTCCAGACTCTTCACTCCTAACAACCCACTCTCAGCCCTGCAGGAGCTTGTTAGGACCAGGCCAGGCCATGTGTATAGAACAACCAAAAAAATGGCAGGACTTTTTCTTCCTATTGTGAGTTTATTTTGTGTGAAGCCAAAGTTGGTAGTGTAGTTTGCTTCACAGAGCCTGAGCATATATTATGGAACTCAAAGCTGTTATTGTTTACATTTGGGAGTTGAGAGTTTAAAACAAAGGAGAAAAGAAAAATGTAAATAGGAACAGAGTGAATACATCTGTTAACTGCTGAAACTCAGTTCTTGTAGATGTTCAGTGGTGATCTTCCCGCAAAGTTGAATTTCTCTTCACAAGCCTCTGGCAGATGAGGAACCCTCTCTGAGGACCAGCTCTTGCTCTCTGGGGTTGGGAAAAGTTCCCTCTTAGCTAAGTTTGAGGCCAGGATGCACCAGCCATTGGCCACAGAGGTGCTGGGCTCCACCAGTACGGCTGGAGTGTTGGGCTGTAGCCTGAGCTTTGGCATCGAGAATCTCAGGGCTGGCCTAACGAAAGTGATTTCTAGCATCTTCCTTGAATGATGTTTTGTGCCTCTTGTTTTCAGTGGAGTTCACTGCGGGATTTGTTCAGTTCAGGGTATTTAATAATGAGAGAGCAGCCAATGCCTTGTGTGCTGGAATGAAGGTCACTGGATGTAACACTGAACACGTGAGTCTCTGTGGGGACCACAAGGACCTGTGAGTAAGGTCGCGTTTGTCAGTGTGTGTTGGTATGTGTGTGTGTGTTGAGTGTGGTATGACTGGTGTATGTGTGTATGTGTGTGGTTGTGTGACATTCTCTTGCTCATTGCTGGGCTTCAGGGGCCAGGGCTGTGGGACCCTTTGTCCAGGTGTACACATCCTGTCCCTCTGAGGACCAAAATCAAGGAGTGAGGCTTCAAAGAACCATTGCTGGGTGCTCAGGCTTTGTGAGAAAACACTTAATCGCTTGGAGGTGGGGTGAGGTTTGTGTGCGGAAACATTCTGTAGTAGTCTTTAGAGCTGAGATTCCTTGCGAAACACAGGTGTTATTCTTCTTCATCTGAGATTTATATTTCAGAGGAAACCTGGGCCTTCCCAACCCTAGCCATGGTTTGCCTAGATACACACTGCACTGGGGAGTTGCTGGGACAGTCCTGGACATCACCTTCTAGAAACCTCACTCAGGCCATCCCTTGGGTGGTTGAAATGTTAAGGTTCAGGAATCCCGAATGGTGGGATTGATAAATTCCAGTGATTTTAAATGGAATACCAGTTGTATTAGTCCATTCTCTCACTGCTATAAAGAAATACTGGCCAGGCATGGTGGCTCACGCCTGTAATCCCAGTACTTTGGGAGGCAAGGCAGGTGGATCTCTTGAGTTCAGGAGTTTGAGACCAGCCTGGGAAACATGGCGAAGCCTTGTCTCTACAAAAAATACAAAAATTAGTCAAGTGTGGTGGTTCATGCCTGTGGTCTTAGCTACTTGGGAGGCTGAGGTGGGAGGATCCGCTTAAGCCTGGGAGGTGGAGGTTGCAGTGAGCCAAGATCACACCACTGTACTCCAGCCTGGGTGACAGAGTGAGACCCTGTCTAAAAAAAAAAAAAAAAAAAAAAAAAAGAGAGAGAGAGAGAGAAAAGAAAAGAAAAAGAAATATCTGAGACAGGATAATTTATAAAGAAACGAGGTTCAATTGGCTCATGGTTCTGCAGGCTATCCTGTAAATATAGTGGCTTCTGCTTCTAGGGAAGTCTCAGGAGGCTTCCAAACATGGCAGAAGGCAAAGATGGAGTGAGGTGTCTCCTGTGGCAGGAGCAGGAGTGAGGGCAGGGGATGTGCTACACACTTTTTTTTTTTTTTGAGACAGAGTTTTGCTCTTATTGCCCAGGCTGAAGTGCAATGGCACGATCTAGGCTCGCCACAACTTCTGCCTCCCGGGTTCAAGCGATTCTCTTGCCTGAGTCTCCCAGGTAGCTGGGTTTACAGGCATGAGCCACCACACTGGGCTAATTTTGTATTTTTAGTAGAGATGGGGTTTCTCCATGTTGGTCAGGCTGGTCTCGAACTTCTGACCTCAAGTGATCTGCCTTCCTCAGCATCCCATAGTGCTAGGATTACAGGCATGAACCTCCACGCCCAGCTGGTGCTACACACTTTTAAATGTCCAGATCTCGTGAGAAGTCACTCACTATCATGAGGACAGCATCAAAGGGCTGGTGCTAAAATCATTTATGTGAAATCACCCCAATGATCCAATCACCTCCCACAAGGCCCCACCCTCAACACTGGGGATTACAATTCAACATGAGATTTTGTGGGGACCCAAGTCCAAACCATATCACCAGTTGAATACAGAGGATGAGCAGGGAAGTCTAGAATAACATGGTTCTCATTTGGGTGAGTGTCATTTATGAAGTCAGAGTGTCTGGATGATGAATAGGTTCTGGGTCAATGAGGGATATAATTAACTTTGTTTTGGTCATTTGGGGCTTGAGATGCCTGTGTAGATATCCAAGCTGGATTTTGAGGTCTTCAGCACAAGAAGTATCTCGACAGGAGATGGAGATTTTGGGGCCATCAGTGAATTTTTAGTAATTGAGGCCACAGTGGTCATGCAATTTATAAGCCAGAGGGAGATGGGTCCTCCACTAGGGAGCAGTGCTTAGAGGATTTATGAAAGAAGAGTACAGACAGGGGCTCTGAGCATGAGTGTTTAGAAAAGTTGAAAGAAAATCAAGACAATAATGTCACTAAAGCTAAAGGAAGAGAGTTTTTTTTTTTTTTTTCTTTTGAGACAGGATCGTCACCCAGGCTGCAGTGCAATGGTGCTATCTAGGCTCACTGCAACCTCCACCTCCCAAGTTCCAGCAATTCTCCTGCCTCAGCCTCCTGAGTAGTGGGACTACAGGTGCCTGTCACCTCACCCGGCTAATTTTTTTTTTGAGAGGAGTCTCGTTCTGTCACCCAGGCTGGAGTGCAGTGGCACAATCTCGGCTCACAGCAAGCTCCGCCTCCCGGGTTGATGCCATTCTCTTGCCTCAGCCTCCCAAATAGCTGGAACTACAGGTACCTGCCAGCACACCCAGCTAATTTTTTTTTTGTATTTTTAGTAGAGACAGGGCTTCACTGTGTTAGCCAGGATGGTCTCGATTTCCTGATCCACCCACCTCGGCCTCCCAAAATGCTGGGATTACAGGTGTGAGCCACCACACCTGGCCCGCACCCAGCTAATTTTTGTATTTTTTGTGGAGACAGGGTTTCATCATGTTGGCCAGGCTGGTCTTGAACTCCTGGCCTCAAGTGATCCGCCTTCTTCGGCCTCCCAAACTGCTGGGATTATAGGTGAGCCAAGGAAGAGAGAGAGATTTTTATGGGAAGGATAGATCAACACTGTCAATGGAGAGTCTGATGAGGACCACAGAAATGACTGGATTCGGCTGTTAAGATGGCACTGGCCTCACTGGCAGGTCTCTCATTACTGCCCCTTCCTCTCTTTGTTTCCCAGCACTGCATTGGTGGAGGAGGATATTTTCCAGAGTCTAGTCCCTGGCAGTGTGGAGATTTTTCTGGTTTTGATTGGAGTGGATATGGAACTCATGTTGGTTACAGCAGCAGCCGGGAGATAACTGAGGCAGCTGTGCTTCTATTCTATCATTGAGAGCTTTGTGGGAGGGAACCCAGACCTCTCCTCCCAACCATGAGATCCCAGGGATGGAGAACAACTTACCCAGTAGCTACAATGTTATGGCAGAAGAGAAACTAATAAATCATATTGACTCAAGGCTTGGTGTTTCTGTGAATTCCTTTCCTGTAGGGGTGAAGCACTGTAGGAAATTTCAAAAGCATGTGTATTGCTGTGGCTGATTGAACTTCAACTGCTTGTGTGTTTGGACTCTTAGGACTCCGGAATCCTGACAGAGAAACATGGCATCTCTAATTCCCTTTCAGATAGCCCTTCAAATAGCCAGAGGAATACAGGGCAAGGGGAAATGAAGCATTTATCCTAACCCTTCCTAACTCACCCACATAGACTGATCAATTTGTATCCTCAACCTGTAGACCCAAAAGGAGAAAAGAGTCCATTTTGGGGGGTGCACCAAAGAAGAAGGAGATATATACCCAATATCGATATCTAGTACGTTCTAACCTTAGTGACTGAGCGTTCTCCTTAGGGAAGAATGGGCTGGCATGATATGATGATGGTGACTCTCCTTGGGCAGTGGCTAAACCATTCCTGGGCTCCCATCTGCAGGTGCTCATTCAGAAGGAGCCACGTGGCCAAATAATTCCCAATGGGTTATCGGTACAGATAGGATGGGGATGGCATCAGTTCTTATCCATGACTAACTATTAGGCATAATATTGTGTTTCCTCTACAATACAAATTGGATTATGACAAGCCCTTCCAATTCTTCCCCACTCTAAGTGTCAATTACTTCTCATTGGCTAGAATATGAAGTTTAAAGTTCTTAGGCCTTAGAGGAATTAGAAGAGGAAGGGGAAGAAGGGAAAGAGGAAGGGGAAGAATTTTGCTTAGAAAAGGTTTGGAAGGGTTGGGGTGTGGTGACTCACGCCTATAATCCCAGCACTTTAGGAGGCCAAGGTGGGCGGATCACGAGGTCAGGAGATCAAGACCATCATGGCCAACATAGTGAAACCCGTCTCTACTAAAAATACAAAAATTAGCTGGGCACGGGGGCACGTGCCTGTAATCCCAGCCACCCAGGAGACTGAGGCAGGAGAATTGCTTGAATCCAGGAGGTGAAAGTTGCAGTGAGCAGAGATCGCACCACTGCACTCCCACCTGGGTGACAGTGAGACTCCATCTCAAAAAAAAAAAAAAAAAAAAAAAAAAAAAAAAAATCTGGGAGGATTTTCTTTGTTGTTTAAACTAGGTCTATTTAGACCTGGGTTAGAAATTGTTAGTATTCTCTCTAGAGCCTTTTTTTCTTTAGTTCTTTCTACCTTTTTAATAACTCATTTTCTGTCATCTGTTCTTCCTGCCTTCTCTCTTACCTCTTTTCCCCATTCTCTATCCTGAAACACAGATATCTCCGTCCCTCTTCACTCTCAGATGCCCTTCGTCCAACTACAGGAGGCAAACCAGAGTATGTTTTTACCTCTGGTTGGAGTTCCCCTGTATGTGACTCACCTTTTGTGTGCCAGACACTGTTGGCTGGGAGTGCACAGACCAGTGGTGGGAGAGAGAGGTGAACATTTTTTTCTCTTTGATATATTCCTTTATGAATTAATTCCAACAATATTCATTGAGTGTGTACTAGTTCCTGGGCTAAGTGCTGGGGATACGGTAATAGAGAATTGATAGAGAAGACAGATGAATCCAATTCTAAAGCTGCAGGTGGTGGAGCCCACGAGCTCTTTAGGTGCAAGGTGATAAAAGTCTCCCATGAGAGCTTCCTGGGGAACTGTGGAAACACAGGAGAGCGATCCCCAATCCAGAAAGGAATGTTAGGGAGGACCTCTCAGAGAAGGTGGCTTTACCTTAATTCTCCCTGCCACCTTGGCGTGACCACAGAGATCTCTGAGCTGGGAAAGTTTTCACCTGTCATTGTTTTCACTGTGCCCCACATCCAGAGGGTGAAGTTGTTAAAGGTCTATGCTCTGGAAATAGATGGAATTAGTCCAAATCCTAGCTTTCTAAATGAATCTGACCCTTGAAAAATTTTTCGTGTAGCAGAGTTTCAGTTTCCTTATCTGTAAACTACAGATAAGAGTAGTAAAGTCCTCACATGTGGTTTTCATAAAAATTAGATGAAATAATTATGTACAGCCTTTAAAGGAGTGCCTGGCCTATAGTAATTGCTTGATATATATTAGTTATTGTTATTATTTTTTGAGTCAGAGTCTTGTTCTTTTGCCCAGGCTGGAGTGCAGTAGTGCGATCTCAGCTCACTGCAACCTCTGCCTCCCAGGTTCACGCGATCCTTGTGCCTCAGCCTTATGAATAGCTGGGATTACAGGCATATGCCACCATATCTGGCTCGTTTCTGTATTTTTAGTAGAGACTGGGTTTTGCCATGTTGGCCAGGCTGTTCTTGAACTCCTGGCCTCAGGTGATCCACCCACGTCGGCCTCCCAAAGTGGTGGGATTACAGGCGTGAACTACCATGCCCGGCCTATGAACAATTTTACACCAACAAATTATATAACCTGGATGAAATGGACAAATTCCTAGGAACATAAAACCTATCAAGACTAAATCATGAAGAAAGAGAAAATCTGAATAAACGTATACCTAGTAAGGTGATTGAATCAGTAATCAAAAATCTCTTGATAAAGAAAAGCTCTGGACCTGATGGTTCACTGGTGAATTCTATCAGTGAAGAAACATTTAAAGAAGAACTAACATCGATTCTTCTCCAACGTTTCCAAAAAACTGAGGAGAAGGCTAAACTCCCCAATTCTGTGAGTCCAGCTTTACCCTGATAACAGCCAGGTGAAGGCACTACAAGAAAAGAAAAATACAGATCAGTATCCATTGTGAACACTGATGCAAAAACCTTTGACAAAATACTAGCAAATCAAATTCAGCAACATATATATATGTGTGTGTGTGTATATATATGTATATGTACATACATATATATGTGTGTATACATATGTATATACACGAATGTATACACACACGTATATATACGTACATACGTATACATATATACATACATACGTATGTATATATACATATATAAGAAAGTATATATAAAATAGATAAATATATATAAATAGTGACATGTATATATCCATATATACATACATATATATGTATATATATACACATATCACTTTTTAAAAAAATTTAATAGAGACAGGGTTTCACCATGTTGGCCAGGCTGGTCTTGAACTCCTGACCTCAAGCAATCTGCCTACCTTGGCCTCCCAAAGTGGTGGGATTAAAGGCATGAGCCATCACGCTCTGCACCCTGTCACATATTAAAATGATTTTACACCATGACCAAGTGGGATTTATTTCTGAAAAGCAAGGATGTTTCAATAAATGAGACTTGATCAGCGTAACACATCACATTAACAGAATAAAGGAAAATAGCTGTACGATCATCTCAATGGATGCAGAAAAAGTATTTGACAAAACTCAGCACTCTTTCATGTAAAACACTCAACAAACTAGGAAGAGAAGAAAATAACCGCAATGCAATGAAATAAAAGACATATACAAAAAACCCACAGCAAACATCATACTTAATGGTGAAAGCTTTTCTTTTATGTCAGGAACAAGGCAAGAATACCCACTTTGGCTACTTCTATTCAACATAGTACTGGAAGTTCTAGCCAGAGGAATAAGTCAAGAAAAACAAATAAAAGGCATCTGAATTGAAAAGAATAAGTAAAATTATCTCTGTTAACGGATGACATGATTTTATATGTAAAAAAACCCTAAAGATTCCACAAAATATTGTTAGAACTAATAAATAAATTCACCAATGTAGCAAAATACAGAGTCTACAAACAAAATCATTTGCATTTCTATACAGCAACAATGAACAATATGAAAAGTAAAATTAATAATTCCAGTTACAATAGCGCCAAAAAGAATAACATACTAGGGAATTAACTTAGTCAAGGAGGTGAAAGATTCCTTGCAAAACATTTCTGAAAGACATTAAACAAGACTTAAATAAATGGAAAGACATCTCATGTTTATGGATTGAAAGACTTAATATTGTTAAGATGTCAATACCACCCAAAGTGATTTATAGATTCAATGCAATATCTATGAAAATCTCAATATTTATTTGCAGAAATAGAAAAACCCATCTTAAAATTCATATGGAATCTCAAGAGACTCCAAATAGCCAAAACCACCATGAAAAATAACTAAGCTTGAAGACTCACATATCCGGATTTCAAGACTTGCTACAAAGTTACAGTATTCAAAGTAGTGTGCTACTGGCATAATATCGGACATACAAACTAATACAATAGAATAGAGAGCCCAGAAAGAAACCCTAGCATATATGGCCAAATGATTTTTGACACGGTTGCCAAGACCATTCAATGGGGAAAGGGCAGTGTTTTCAAGAAATGATACTCAGAAGCCTGAATATCCACATGTAAAAAGAATAAAATTTGGGCTGACTGTGGTGGCTCATGCCCGTAATCCCAGCAGTTTGGGAGGCTGAGGTAGGTAGATTATGAGATCAGGAGTTCGAGACCAGTCTGACCAACATGGTGAAACCCTGTCTCTACTAAAAATACAAAAATTAGCCGGGCGTGGTCCTGCATGCCTATAATCCCAGCTACTCGGGAGGCTGAGGCAGGAAAATCACCTGAACCCAGGAGGCAGAGCTTGCAATGACCTGAGATTGTGCCACTGTACTCTAGACTGGGTGACAGAGCGAGACTCTGTATAAAAAAAAAAAAAAAAGAAAATTAACTCCAACAGACCCATGACTTAAATGTAAGACCTAAACTATGAAACTCTCAGATAAAAATAGGACAGAAGCATCACAGCATCGCATTTGGCAATAATTTCTCGACTATGACAACAAAGCATAGGCAGCAAAAAAAAAAAAATTAACAAATTGTGCTTTATGAAAATTTAAAAATGTTGTGCACCTAAAGACACTATCAACAAAGCAAAAATCCACAGAATGAGAGAAAATACTTTCAAATCATGTATCTTATAAAGAATTAATATCCAGACTATGCAGAGAACTCCCAAAATTCAACAACAAAATACCAAACAACCCAATTCAAAAATGGTCAAAGGACTTAAATAGATCTTTCTCAAAACAAGATATAC